GGAGAAGTGGTGCCTCGATGCGCACCCGGGATCCGAACCCGGGCCACCAGCATCGCAGCGCGCGCACTTAACCACCAAGCCACAGGGCCGGCCCTCTGAGAATCTTCTAAGTGTGCATGAGCTAGGTACACGCATGTGTGTGTGCATGTGTATGTGTGCATAAGTGCATGCAACATGTGTATGGGGGAGCCATTAAGACCTTCACTGAGAGCCACCCCAGGAAAGGACACCCAGGTCCACACCACACAGCCCTCCTCCCGCCAGGACTCTAGGCAGCAGCTCCATAGGTGGAAGCCTCAGGACACCCTGTGCCTGATCCTGAAACTTGCTGCGCCCAGCACAGGCCTGGAACACACAAGCGCTCCATGAAGATTCACAAATAAACCAACCAGTGAATGGATCTAGAACTGGCTGTGCCCTAGTTTTGGCTGCATCCTTCCGAAGCTCTGAAGGCTCCTTCAGGGAACTCTCGTCTGTGAGATAGGCAGGTCCTGGGATCCAGGACTATCACTACAGCCTGCTCCAGGACCCTGAAGTGCTACTGCAGTCAGCAAGTCCACTGCACACGGTGCACAGACGTGCAGGGTGGAGGGATCCTGTCGCCTCCTCTCATCTCAGTCCACTGAGGCCACACCGTAACTGAAGGTGCCTCAGAGAAGCAGCTCTCAGCTGACCCTGCACATGCCTCCCACTGTGTCAGGGCACCATTCTCACCTCAAGCAAGGGAAGAGGTGAAGGTGAAGGGAATGGAAGGCCCTTCCAGCAGCGGCAGCCACCCGCCTAGCCCTGCTTGTGTCCTGAGGACAATCCTGCTCCTGTGAGCGCCAGCAGCTGGCAGAGCCTCACCCAGCACGAGACGCTGGTGCTCACGTGGGTGGTAGCACTACGACTCACTTCCACCCACAGGTTTGGAAAGCCTGGAGGAAAAAGCACGCAGGCAGGATGGCGCCTAGTCCAGCTCTCCCTGTTCTGAAGGGCGCGGCCAGCTCCAGGGAATGTCTGGCCTGGAATGTGCTGGGCCAGGAAAGATACGGTGTGGGTACCTCTCCTAGACTAAGAATCTGCTCCTGAACCCTGAACCAAATGGTGCTGGCGGCATCAGACAGGGATAACTTGGTCACCAGTCAGCTCCGTCTTGTAGAGGAGAGGGCGGGAGAGAAGGCACAGAAGAAAGAGCAAAGGGCAGGCCCAGTGCCAGGGTTACTTATGACCCCGCCTTTCACAGGTGCCAGTTCTGGAAAGGGCATGTGAATCCAGTCAGAACCATGACAGTGGGGAAACAACAGTGGGGAGGCAGGAAGCTGGGGGAAAGAGCAACTGGAAAAAGAAGACAAGAAGGTGGAAGGAAGGCCAGGGAAGGGGCAGGGGACTGGGGAGGGAGCAAACAACACAAATCCTGAGGCTAGACAACCTGGGCATGACAACAAGGTAGGAAAAACTGACCAAGGCACACAGGAAAACAGAACTGCCACCTGTCAGCCACGCCCACAAGGTGAGCCGAGGGCCAGAGCTGGAACTGAGCTGCAGGAATGTGAACAGCAGGGCAGAAGTCAAGGAGCACCCCTCATCCTCAACCCCAAGAGGGCGGGGAGGTACAAAACCTGGGCTCTGAAGCAGCGGGCTGCTCCTGGCTAGGAGCTGGCAGCCAGCACAGCTGCTGGGTGAAGGACCCTCTCTTTCTCTCTGGGCAGGGGCCATGCTTTCATCAGCAACAGGGCTGCACATTGTCCTGGAGCCCAGCCAGCAGAAGGCAGGGGCTAGGAGGCTCCTACAGACCCCGTCCTCCAAATAGGGAGGCAGGCAGTCTGATTCCTGTGCCCACCATGGCAGGCTCTCGGGTGAGAAGAGAACAGGCCAGCCGGGCACCAAACACCTGGTTTCCCCAAATTTGCAGGAGGACAGGTGAGGATGACCATTTAAGTTAGGACCTATTTAAGGTCCTATTGAAGTCAGGACCCTGGAGCTGCGTAACGCAGGGGGTACTGAGCCCCAGGGTGCAGGCGATGTCTATCCTGCTGTGCCCAGTGCAGAGCCTCCCCGGGGCATCTGAACAATCGCCAAGTCCGTGACAAGTGAATCATAAAAGTGAATTTGTGGCTGCTCAGATAAAAGCATGAGTCAAGAGTCACAATTTCTGTTCCATGGACACAACTGTTGACCAGATGTCCTAAGTGTGGGGATGGCCAGTGGCAAAATTATAAAGCAGGCCTGTTTGTCTTCAAACACTCCTGAGACAGCTTTCAGTTCCTTTATAAAAATGCAAAATTGACTTCTGAGTGATCAACTGAATATAGGCATTTACTTTGGCTTCCGTCTGAAAAAAAAAACAGAAAACAAAAAAACCCAAAACATCCGTGGGCCCTGCCAGCCACCTGCCAAGGCAGCACAGGGGCACAGACACTTCTGCAGAGCAGCAGCAGCTGAACCCAAGTGTGTACGTGCTTTCCGGACCTTACATGCCCACAAGAGGCCTCTGGCTGGAGGCCCTGTCTGGCTCCTCCCATCACTGAAGGACCCTGAACATGATAAGGTGGGGGCTGGGGTCGTATCAGCCATGTCTCTGGGCCTTCCCCTTGCTGGCACCCTGGGGATAGGGTCCCTGTGGGGAGCAAACAAAGTTACGGAGCATGTCACAAAGCATGGAGCCTGGTGAGGAGAGGCTGCTAGACAATGTCAGCTCCCCTCTCTGTGCCTTGACATCCCCCCTATGAACAAACAGGTGGGAAGGTGCCAGGACACTTGAGGACCCCAGGAAGGAATGACCATACTGACCTGGCAGATTGCAGGCCCTGCCTCCCCTGACCCCAGGATGGCAGCTAGGGATGATGCCTGGACCCTCATCCCTTTTCCTGACATTGCTGAAGGAAGGTCACACTCACTAGCCAGCAGCTCTGGTCCCAGCCTCCCAGGAGTGTCCATGACACTGCCTTGCTTCCTTTGGGCCAGTGGTGCCAGCTTTGCCCTCCCAGGGGAGAGGGGCAGTGGTCATCGAAACGGCCTGCACAGAGCCTGCTCTTCTTCCTGGTGCCTCCAAGGGGCTCACTAATGCGCATCTTCCTCCTGCATTGCAGAGATGGAGGATGTGTGCCCCTGGGGGTAGCCTGCCTTCTCCTGGGGCTTCTGTCCCCGTCTGGGTCTCCACAGTCATTGTTCAAGGAGGAAACGCAGACAGCTTGGTCAAGTCAGGCAGGAACCTCTGAGAACGCCCAGGGATGGAGAACATCATAGACTCTCAGCATTGGCAGGGAGCATCAGGCACCAGGATCCACCCCGTGTGGCTGCCTGAGTCCTTCCCACAGTGTTTCAGGCAAGAGGGTGCCAGCCTCTGCTGACTCCCTACCTACCCCTGGGGCGGGTGTTCACAGAGCAGACCTGCAACCCAGGAGTCCACCGAGCCCCTGCATTGCCATGGAGTTCCCAAGAGGGTCCTCCTAACAGCCTCACGGCCCAAAGGGCTCGAGCTTGGCACCAGGGGATGAGCCCGACCCAGGAGGGCAGGGAAAGGAGAGAGGCGGGCAGGGACCCCCACCCCTAACTGGTTGGGATCATGCGCCTATGGCCTCAAGACAACCACGCTCCTTGTGGGTGCTATAAAGTGACAGCTGTGTCTTCTTCAAACCAGAAATCAAAAACGAAAGAAGAAAGTCTCAGTGCACAGCAGGCAGGGAAACCAGAAAGTCGAAGCTGTGTCTGTCTCTGGGGCAGTGAGGGGATTATCCACCCTGGGGCTCCAAGCACCTAACCAGAAGGTTTCTGGAACAAAACTCCACAGCCTTTCTCCAATCAAATTTCCATCTTACCACATCATATCCATTAGGATGGCTACTATCAAAAAATCAGAAGACAATAAGTGCTGGCGAGGATGTGGAGAAACTGGAACCCTTGTGCACTGCTGGTGGGAATGTAAAGTGGTGCAGCTGCTGTGGAAAACAGTAGGGAGGTTCCTCAAAACATTAAAAATAGAACTACCACACGACCCAGCATTTGAAAGCAGGGTCTTCAAGAGATATTTGTACACCCATGTTCATAGCAGCATTATTCACAATAGCTAAAACATGGAAGCAACCCCAATGTCCATCAATCAATGAATGGATTACCAAGATATGGTCTATACGTACAACAGAATATTCTTTAGCCTTAAAAAGGACGGAAATTCTGCAACACGCTACAACAAGGATGAACCTTGAGGATATTATGCTAGGCGAAATAAGCTAGTCACAAAAAGACAAATAACGTAGGCTTCCACTCATATGAGGTACTCAGAGTAGTCAAAATCATAGAGGCAGAAAGTAGAATTACAGTTGCTAGAGACTGGGGGAGGGGAGAATGGAGAGTTAGTATTTAATAGGTAGAGAGTTTCAGATTTACAGGATGAAAAGAGTTATGGGGATGGATGGTGGCAATGGCTGCAGGACAACATGAATGTATTTAATACCACTGAACTGTACACTTAACAAATGGTTAAGATGGTAAATTTTACGTTACGTGTATTTTAACACAATAAAAAAAGAAAAGAAAAATTCCCATCTCATCCAGGCGCCTCCTGACACCTGCTCTGGGCCAGGAGGTGGGCCTGGTATTGGAGACCCCAGCTCCAGTAGGCACATATGTGCAGCCTCTTGCCGTGTGTGTAACGTGAGAAATGTCTACGGGCTCCCGCGGGGGCTAAAGGAGGGAGGGGGGACCAGGATCTGGACAGGCTCCACAGCAGACGAACCCCTGAACTGGGGGCTAAAAGATGAGGGCAGAACTCCAAGTCAGTGTAGATGAGGGTCTGAGGGCAGGATCCTGGTGGGGGTGGGTGGCCAAGCTGCACAGGGCTGAGGGGCACGGAAGGGCAGATCAGCCTCCTGGACGGGCCTGAAGGTGAAGCAAGACAGTGCCAGGTGAAGGCAGCCCTCAGAGATGACGGATGGACAGAAACGACCCGTCTCAAGTTCAGGACTCAGCCTACTTTTTCAAGGCCGTAAGGATCCTTGTCTATACCAAACCGTACTCGCGAAGCAAGAAGTGAGGGGGTGCACCAAGACAGGCAAGGTAGTTAAGGGAAAGTGTCAGCTGAGGAATCGAGAAGGCTTCAAATCTGGTAGCCGTGTGGCCTCGAACAAGTTACTTCGCCTCTCTGAACTTCCGTTCCCCAATGTGCAAAACGGTGACACTGGACATTGGGTAAGCAGCTGTGCGAGGCAGGTATGTGTCACACACTGGCTTCCCCTCCCATCCTCACGTTTCAGAAAGAGAAGACTGCTCAGCCCTGGAGACTTTAGAAATGACAAAAGCATAAATCAGAAGCAGTCCTGCAGCTAAAGTGCCAGCCCCAGCAGAGAAGCAACCGCAGCAAAAAGATAACGCGTCCAGCGCTTCCTTGCAGCAACAGGGAAAAGCAGGTTCTTCTCTCTTGTTTTTAAACCCGGGCTGGAAATCACCCAGAAACAAGCTACGCAGAAGGGGGAAGGTATCTGTCATCAGGGCAAATGGACCAGACAGACAGAGAGGTGTAACCCACCCTGGGGGACAGTGATCTTCTCAGCCCAAGAAGGCAGGAACCCAAGAGGTCAAAGGGGTGCCCTTGTCCCACCAGCAGCGGGTGCATGTCTGGGCCCCAGGGCACCTCAGAAGTGCCCCTCCCAAGCTGTGGGATGGCTGAGAGCAGTAAGGTCGGCGTGCCAGGCTAGGCTGGAATGCCAGCTCTGCCACAACTCGGAGCTATGTGCCCACGAGAGAGGGGCCAGCCCAGGGGTGTCTCTGAGTGTGTGGCAGGGCGTCTGCTGAATGTGCCACTACATACTGACCACGTGACCTGGGGGTCTCAGTTCCATGTCTGTAAAGCAGAGGTGACAGCAGGACAGTTAATGACAATGAGACCTTGAGGGGAAGACCCTGGTCAAATGGATGGCATCATCGTCAACACCCCCTTTGGTAAAAGGGAGCAAGTACACTGTGTGGGGCACACGGACAGGAGCTGGGACACTACCCCGCTTGGCACCACTGCTGGAGCCCCCGCCACAGGTCCCATTGGGTTAGACGGTGGCTTTCAGCTCGCGCTGCCTGCCTCCTCCGTGCTGGGCTCAGAGTTCCGCCATTGCCCCGCTAACGCACCTGGCAGGTGGTCTCCACACCAGCAGGTGCCCCAGGTGGAGGGATGAGGAAGGAGGTTTTAGTGACTCCAACTTCCAACCATTGGCTGCTCCACCACCCACTTGCTACCTAACCCTGAGTGAGTGGCTGTGCTTCAGGGAGCCACTGGGACGAGGACAGCTGGCTCGGAGCCAAGCCCAAGCCCTGTCTCACACCTGGCCCACCCGCCTGGGGACTCACCGCTTTGGTGGACTCCAGGGCTCCTGAGGCCAGTGCGTCCCGGCTGCCTCTGCCCTTGCTGCTGAGGTGGGGCGAGGAGGAGGGCGAGTCATCGATGTACGGCAGCCCCTCCTGGTGCCGGCGCTGCTCCTCGGCCCGGTCCGCCGCGCAGCCATACCCAGGTGGTGTTCCAAACGACGCATCTGTGTGTGCAGAGAAGCAGCCTGGGTTAGAGACAGGGAGGAGGGCTGGAAGGCCATCTGCCCAGGAGCATCCATGCCCCACCTGTCCCAGCTGACACCATCCGTCACCCGTAGATGTCCAAAAAGGACCTCAAGTACGCTGACCTCACCCTCACAACTGACTGGCTGAAGACCACAGGGCAAGGAGGGGAGGAAACAGTGGCTCACTCCCCAGACAATAAGAGGCTGGGCTTTGAATACTGTCTGAGGCACATGTGCCCTTGTCCCAGGAGTGGGCCTGAGCTGTTACGAAAAGGTGGACCCTAAATGCTAGCGTCTTGCTGTCAGGGACGGTCCTTGCACACCTGTCTGTGAGGATCTGATGGGACAAGGAGCACGGGCCAGCACACTGGTCCAGGCGCAAGCTGTGGCCACCGTGATCAGCGCTCCAGGTCTGCCAGGCCCTGCCCAGGGAATGGGTGCTGCAGCCCCCTCCCCTCCGCTCACCTCACCCGGCCCCTCCACTGACTCTCAGCCCACCTCCCAGCTGGTCTGGCAAAACCCTAGACCACCTTTACCCCAATCTGAGTGTCCCTGTGAAAACACAGAGTGGCTTTTCCTACAATAGGCTCCCTGGCGTTCAGCACTATCTAGTTACAGAGAGTAACACCTCCACCCTAAAGGCACCTGAAGATGGTCACTCTCTTCCTCCCTGGCTAAACTGGCAAAGCCCATACCCCTTGGCTTCTCTGTAGCTCTGTTCTCAGAATTCTTCTAATCCAGCAGACCCCTCACCAGGACATCAACCCACAATGGCCCAGCCTGCTCCAAGCCTCACATGAGGTCACTTTTGACTCTTTCCAAAGGGCGCTTCACGGTCCATGGGATTTCCCAGAGGTCATCCTGACTGGGTTACATCAATAGGGCTAGGTCACTCTCACCACGACTCACCTGCAAGCAGCCCTGCCCGAACGTCACCACCATAGGTGACGCCTGTGGCGGGCATTCACGGTTTTTAACCATTTCTGCCACCAAGCACACCCACACTGGGCTTAGGCTCCGGGTGCCAGTGGCATCCAGACCACGCAGGCCAGGTGGGCACAGGGCTACCCTTGGGCTTCCAGAGCTGACCCAGCAATCCCAGATGGGGACTGTTTTCAGTTCTTTCCATGTGGCGGCTGAGAAGAGCCGTGGTTGGAGTGACTGGGTGTTGACCACAGGTTAAGACTGGCCGCCAGTGCCCTGTACAGCTCCTCTGCCACGCTGCAGGTGCCCACAGATGGCCCAAGTCCCAGCTTCCTCACACAATTCAGCCTCTCCCAGGTTCTCCACTTCTGTCCCAACAGGTCACACGCCCTCTAACAAGGGTCCTTAGCCCTGGCTACACGTCAGCATCACCTGGGGAGCTTCAAAAACATAATGTAGCTGGGGCCAAACAGACCAACCGAATCAGACGCTCAGGGAGGCCTGGGTCCCGGTGACTGTAAAGGCTTCCCGGGGGATTCCAGCAGGCCGCCAGGGCCAAGATCCGCTGCACTACCCCAACCCGGCACCTGGCACTGTGATCGCTGCCACGTTGACCCACACTGTGTCCCCGGTGTCTGCACAGAGGTAGTGACCACAAAGGCCAGGGCAGGTTCTGCCTGTGTGTGTGTCCACAGGAGGGTCCCAGCAGAGGGTAGTGGTGGCTTGAGAGTAGCAGACAGGGTGGGGGAACCCCGAGAGCTGGGTGGGCTCCTACTGACTCCCCCAACAAGCTGTACAGAGATGCCCTGGTCTCCTTAACCCACGGGTCATTGAAGGGGCTCCGGGTACCAAGACCACTGAGTTGGTTACCAACACTCAGCCCCGCTGGCCTTTGGTTTGTACTGTCCTTGAAGGACAGTCAGAGGCCAGGGTCATGTTGCTTCCTCCTCCCAAGATTTTGCAAAGGCACTAAACTAGCTCTCGCCCAGCATCCCTGAGAATGGGTGGGGGAGAGTTCAAAAGCGTTAAAAAAACAAAATCCTGTTTATGTAGAACCCCAACCCCACAGCCCACCTCAAAAACAGCTTCTACTTCCTTTCAGGGAATCACAAATTTTTTTTTTTTTTTT